GAGACAGCAACTAGAGCTCATAATGAAGATCTTGAAATGATGGATAGTTTTTGCTTTGGGAGGAATCCGCTATCATCACTAAAGGAACCTGCAGTGAACAAACAGGCTGCAGACTAGTGCTTTAGTTGTGAAGGCCTTGAAAGATATTCAGATGCCAGGACAGAGATATAGACTTCTTGAGATTACAATAGATAGGTAAGACAATAAATGAATGGATTGTAAAGCAATCAGTCCAGTGTTATTATTCAAGGCCCAAATGGCCAGGCTCAAATTATCATATTTTGGAATCATAATGTAAAACTCCAGATTTCTTGAGAGGTCACTAATGCTAGGAAAGTTAGAACACAGAACATAGAATAATAGAGTTGGAAGGGACCTTGGAATTCTATACCATTTCAGACAAATGGCTGTCCAGTCTCTTTTTAAAAGCCTCCAGTGATGGAGCATCCAGAACTTCTGAAGGCAAGTGGTCCCACTGGTTTATTGTTCTCACCGTCAGGAAATTTCTCCATAGTTCTAGATTCCTTCTCTCCTTGGTTAATTTCCATCCATTTTTTCTCATCTTGCCTTTTGGTGCTTTGGAAAACAGTTTGACCCCTCCTTGTCTTTGTAGGAGCCCCTCAAATATTGGAAGACTGCTATCCTCTCTCCCCTAGTCCTTCTTTTGACTAGACAATTCCTGTAACTGTTCTTCATATGTTTTAGCCTCCAGGCCCTTAATCATTCTTGCGGATCTTCTTTGCACTCTTTCCAGAATCTCAATATCATTTTTAAATTGTGGTGACCAGAACTGGATGCAGTATTTCAAGTGTGGTCTTACTAAGGCTTTGTAAAGCGGTACTAGAACTTCATGTGATCTTGATTCTATCCCTCTATTAATGCAGTTTAGGATTGTGTTGGCTTTTTTTGGCTGCTGCCACCCACTATTGGCTCATATTTAAGTTAGAATGAAAGGGAAGAAGAACCAGGAGCAAGATGGATGGACCCAAATGAAGCTACAATGGCTGCACTGTTGGGAGACCTTAAGGGCCACTTTGGAGAGACTCATCATCCCGGAGAAGGTCTGTCTATCTAGTCACCAAGGATCTATACTGACCTGTTGATGCAAAATCAGTATATCAATCTGGCTTTAATCCTTTGGTTCACATTTTGGACACAGAGACTGAGCAGCACAAGGCAAGAGGGTTTGATTAAAAAAAATGGATATTGTTTCACATGGGGAAAATAGGAGATGTTCACTGTCTTAAGTTATTTGTAAAAATAATAAAGGTGGGATATAAATAAATAAAAATAAATAAAAATGTATTTAGAAGAAAATGCAGATCTAATTCATTTTCTACTTTATAGTATTTGTTTATTAAATTTATACACCACCCACCTTGCTATCAAGCAACTACTTATAATATTCTTCATATTCATTTTCTTCATAGTTATCTTCCCGACCCAATTCAGTTTCCCTGTTCTATGTTGCATTGCTTTACAACTGCTTGCTTCCTAACTGAAAACCCATTTTAACTTTTTTTCTCAATGAAAGAAAAGCAATGCATACCTTCAACTATACTGAAATCACCTATTCTATCTATCTATCTATCTATCTATCTATCTATCTATCTATCTATCTATCTATCTATCTATCTATCTATCTATCTATCTATCTATCTATCATATACATATATATATATACATATATACATATTTGTTTTCTGAGGTTTT